GCAGGCTAGGGGACAGCCGGTAGCATCAGGGACCATCCATGCCAACAGGATCAATCCCTGTGCCTCCCCTCAGGTGGTGGTCCCCTCCCCTACGAGCATCAGCAGACGCTCGTCAATGCGGATCAGGGAATCCAGTGGTCTATCTCTGGGTGGCTGGCGCCAAGCATGCCAAGGAAGGTTCATGAGGCCAATGGGGATTGAACCCACGACTTCCTGAATGCTACTTGAGAGGGTTACCAACTGAGTTAGGCCGCTGGAATTTTTATTATTATTTGTTTCCCCCATACCTGCGACCTTTTTTTTCTTTCTTTTGTTTTCCGTGGCTGTGACGGCTTTTGTTTTTTTTTTTTTATCCATGCCTGCGGGCCGCGGCATTCTTTTTCTTTTTTTTTTTTTTTTTTTTTTTTTTTTTTTCGTGCCTGCTTATGCCACTGCTGAGCTGTCTAGCCCACATCCGTGGCTGGGCCACGGCTGAGATGTCTTGGCCGCGCCCATAACTGGGCCACGGCCGAGATGTCTAGGCGCATGCACAAGATATCTAGGCCAAACAACACAAAGATTTCGGCACAAAAGGACATTCCGCTCCATCTTTCAGGAGCATTTCGGCTTTGCAATTACCCTGTTTCTTTTTAACAAGCAGAAGAACTTTCATAGTACAGAAAAGAAAGGAGGCCAGGGGTGACGTCCCACTAGTGGTCAGAAACGTATAGAATGAGGACCATTCGCGTGTGTGTCACTCTTTTCAGCCGCAGATAGCAAAGGGATAAGACAGTCCTAATAATTTTGTCGCCGTGCGAATATTAGGGGACGGTGGATCTTTCTGGCCCTCTCGTATGCCATCAACTGTGCCAGGTATTCTTTCTCATGGTTGGAGGGGTTTTCATTCCTGGCCGGTGTTTTGATGGGTCAGGAATGAAAACCAGTTCCGAAATTGGTAAGGTCCAAATTAAAAAAAAACAGGTGAGAAGAGTGTGTCAGTCTGAGCAGACTCCCTCCTCTCTCTCTCTCTCTCTCTCTCTCTCTCTCTCTCTCTCTCTCTCTCTCTCTCTCTGTGTGTGTGTGTGTGTGTGTGTGTATGTGTGCATGCACAATCATGCTTTGTGCGTGGAAGTCCACTCCACAGCCTTTGGAGGTTCTCCCTACATTCACCAAAAGCAAAAACGATGTATTTCCCCAGGTACAGCATGAAAATACATTCTCATTTTCGACTTTTGGTGGTGACGTGGAAAAAGCTTTGAAATGGTCTCACAGGGTGCNATGAAAATACATTCTCATTTTCGACTTTTGGTGGTGACGTGGAAAAAGCTTTGAAATGGTCTCACAGGGTGCAACCCCAGCCTTAGCGTGCCGCACTGGTGCACGGGCGGACCGGTACAGGAATCAAAACCCAAACTCGTGCAAGACTGCTAATGGGACTTCGGCCCGTACAGGAATCAAGACCCAAACTCGTGCTAGACTGCTAATGGGACTTGGCCACGGGAGGCCCTCCGCGAACAACCCTGAAAATCTGGGGCTGTTACCCTGTTTAGGCTCAGGGGTTAGGATATAAGTGCAGTAGCAGACATGGGGAAATCCATACAGTAGTGCAGTAGCAGACGTGGCCAAATCCATGCAGCATCCCGTAGTTGCTTTTTTTACGACTC